TTCTACTCTTGTAAAAGTGACAGGACATGTCCGTGAACTAAAGACAAAGATGAAAGAATGAGAGGATCGAAAGACGAGCGAACATGAAGACGGTTGAGATGGAGGAGAGAACAAATACGCAAGAATATCATGTATGAGAGTCATTAGAAATTTAGACGTGTTATTCGGTGCCGAATAACGCCGAGAGATCCGGCGTTTCTTTGTTTGACCGGCGAGAACCTGTGGATGCAGGCAGAGGCTTGCTTTTCTCGTTTCATCCCCACCCGGGATTCTATCATCAAAACATCGGGCATCTCTCTCCGGGCCTCTCTCTCTCTCTCTCGTAATGGTCTTCGCGGATGAAAAGAAAATGGGGAGAAAAATTGATACTACAGTTATATTTCGAAGGGTTTTCAAGCGATAGTTGAGAGCCGAAGAATTGTCATTGAACAGTCACGATTGCTTTATGAAACAGATAAAGAGTGCATTCAACTGCATTAATAAAAATCTCGCAGCGATTATTTTTTTTCGGTCAGATGCGGTGAGAGAGATAGATGCTGCGGGGGAATGGGCGAACGGAGGGAGACGGCGATATTGTCGTATGATCGACGAAAAACAGAGCAGAACACACGGAGAAAAATGCTCAGTAAAAATTACGGAACTCAATTCGCTCACCGATTACGGAATCGACTCGGAAAATTTAAGCGACGGTATCGTAATTTTTCACAGGAGATCCAGATGAAAATTACGGAACGCTCTGGAAAAATTCGGTGCACAGTTCCGTAAAATTTCCTACAACCACATGCGCTCCGGAATTATGGAAAACGTAATTTTTATTGAATATTTCTCTCCGTGCAGGATAGTGTGCGCGTGCACAATATCAATGGGTTTTGGCGTGACATTATTTATTGTATCTCGTCAATAACATGATCGATGAATGGAGTGGTATAAATAGAATTGTTTTGGAGGAGTGAAAAATTAACTGATAACGGGGAATTAATGAAATCCAGATGGGCATTATATCGAACGGCTGTTTTCTCGGTATCGGAAAAGTCAATATTTTTAGGCTCGGTGATTAACGAAATCTCGGGGTTGGCGATACGCAGAGTATTTTTTTAACACTCAGAGAAAAACAAGCACATTGTCAAACAAGTCTTGTTTGGGCCAACAAAATCGCTAGTTAAAAATTGCCAAAAAAGAATTTGTTTGGTTCGAATTTGAAAGTCTCAAACATGAATAATTGTTCTGCTTTCGACAGCAACGAAATATTTGGCTCAAGAGGCGGATAATTCACACCGGCCGGTGACTTTTCAGGATGAAAATATCTCATACAGATGAAAATTTATCAACTAATATTTTATCCCTAAGTTACAAGATTGCTATCGTATCATTATTGTTTCATTTAAAGGTTCATTTATTGTCTGTGATTATTAGACAGACGAAACGAAAAACAACTATCAGTGTACAGAGAATGCAATTTTTTTTTTCAACTACTAAATCTATTTTTGCGACAAAAATTTTTCATTCCGGCGCACTCTGCATGTTTGGCACAAAAAAATCCCTTTTTGATAATTTTCAAAAAAATATTTTCTTGGCACAAGTAAGACTTGTTTGAGATCTTTGTCGTTGTTCTCTCAGTGTATTCGAATGGGGGTGTTTCAAGATTTGTCTCTTGTGGAGATCATATTTTTGGGGGGCAATTGGGGTCGGTTAAACTCAATCGATAGGTGCCATAAAATTCCTCATCTTCATTGTGTGTCATCAGTGACAAGATCGATATATGAAACGGTCAGGGAACGTAAATAGAATTGTTTTGGAAAATATCGAGAGATTCAGTGATAGATATGAGTTGATAAAATCCAGATGTGCATCATTCGATGTGTATCATTACTGGTGTTTTTTTTTAGATATGATTTATTTATAGTTTTATTTTTGGTGATACTCTTCACGCTGAGGGTTTTTCTAGCCGTGGGGATCGCTGGGGGCTGCCCTTTGTGTTGACTTGGGAAGGAAACACTTTTAGTAAACGTTTAATTTTTAGGAGCAGTTGAGTTCTGTTAAGGCGAAACGGAACCCCTTTGTCTATATCAAGTCTGAGAATTCTGTTTTCTCCTACAATTATTAATTTCTATCTACGAAACTACTCTATCGACTCGATTATCGTATTGTTGAGTCCATGAAGTAGTTTAATGAATAAAAAATAATAATTGCTGGAGAAAACACAATTCTAAAAGTTCAGATGAACCCAGGGGTTCCGTTTCCCCTGAAACTCAGTCAAAAGGTGCCATGAAATTCTTCATTTTCATTATATTTCGTCGATGACGGGATCAATAGACGAAGTGGTCGGGGGATACAAATAAAATTGTTTCAGGAAACATCGAAAATTTTACTGATTCAAATGCGTTGATAAAATGCAGATGTTGCGTCATTCGAATGGCTGATGTTTTCTTTTCTTATCGGGGAAGCAAGTGGTTTTATTCTTATTCATTAACGAAAACCCGAAGCTGATGTAATCCACGCCGAGTTTTTCTAGCCGTGGGGATCACTGCGGGCTTGCCCTGTGTCGGCTTGGGAAGGAAACGCTTTTGGAATAAACGTTTAATGTTTAGGAGCAATTGGGTTCTGTGATACATTTTTTTAATTATCTATTGTCACTGATGAATTCATCAATGACAAGATCAATAGGAGAAATGTTTAGGGGATATAAATAAAATTGTTGTGGAAAACATCAAAAATTTCACTAAGGACAGTTGATAAAATGCAGATGTTGCATCATTCGAATGACTAATGCTCTCTTTTCGTATCGGGAAAGCAAATTATTTTATTCTCGGTGATTAAAAAAGTCCCGGAGCTGATAATATTGACTTTATATTAAGTATTTCTCCAGCCGTGGAGATCATTGAGGGCTCGTCCTTTGTGTTGGCTTGAGAAAAAAAAACTTTTGGAGTAAACGTTTAATTTTCAGGAGCAATAAGCTCCCGCCAAACTCAATCAATAAGTGCCATAAAATGCTTCATCTTCATTGTATGTCATCAATGACAAGATCAATAAATGAAATTCTCAGGGGATGTAAATTAAATTGTTCTGGAAAGCATCGAAAAATCCGGGTGTCGCATCATTCGAATGGCCGATATTTCCATTTCGTATCGGAAAAGCAAATTATTTTATTCTCGGTGATTACCTAAATCCCGGAGCTGATGATATCTACCCCGCATTGAGGATTTTTCTAGCCGCGGGGATCATTGGGGGCTCTCGCCCTTTGTTTTGAGTTGAGAAGAAAACAGTTTCACTCAATTTTTCGAAACGATTAGCTACTTCAATCCCATTTGCCGGCGTAAGTCTTTATTGGATCTCATGCGTTTTAATAGGATCAATGATGAAAGAAGTCATCAGGGGGGTATAAATAGAATTATTTCGGAAAACCTGGAAATGTCCGCTGATAACGGGGAATTAATAGAATAAAAGTGACGGTACGTTATATCGAATGGGTAATGATTTTTCATATCGCGAGATCAATTACTTTCATTGATGGTGATTAAAGCAATCTCTCGACTGATGATATCCACTACGCGCAGAGTATTTTTCTAGCCGGATGGGGATATTCGGGGGCTCGTCCTTTGTGTTGAGATTCAAAAGGAAGTATTTTTGGAGCAAACGACAAACTTTTCGAAGGGTTTTTTCTCTAAATTTATTTTCCTATTTTGAAGTCCTGGGAAGCATTAGAAAAATTATGAAGTTTACTTTTGCAAGGAGATTCACAAAGTCATAAAAGTTAATCAAGATCTTCTTTTATGAATAATTGATGAATAATCAATTTTTCATCCTAAAAATTATCTTTCCGAACTATACAGATTTTTCTTTTTTCTGTTGAAATCCCTTTCAACCTTTGCAGATAAAACAAGAGTTCCATTTAAGCCTCACGTGGCCCTAGATTACCGAACATTTCGCAATGATTTCATCATTTTAACTTGAAAACTCCAACTTTAAGTTACTCAAACCCATTTTTCATAAACAACTGATAAACAATCAATTTTTAAAATAAATTTCTCTCCCTAAAAATCATCATTCCGAAGTTGATTTCATGACAAATAAAATATTCACCAAAATCTAAACAACTTCAATCATCCCTCTATAAAAAAACAAATATCTAAAAAATAATAAATCGAAAGAATAAATTGAATATATCTATTCTCCCTCATTAACGTTTACCCTCAGCTGATGTTACCCACTCCAAACAGTCGTATTTGTCGAGCCCAATGGGAATATTCGGGGACATGTCCTTTGTGTTAAAATTGGAAAGGAAACACATTTGAACTAAACGACCAACTTTGAGCGGCGATTGGGTACTGTTGATCTCATTTGGTAGTTGGCTTAGAAACTGAGAGAGAGAGAGAGAGAGAGAGAGAGAGAGAGAGAGAGAGAGGAGGGGGGGGGGGGAATGGTTAATACTCGCAGGTCAGTAGCAACCGAGTCTAAACCGCGGTGTAAAATCGGCTGTTATGCATGGAGGAAATTGAAGGCAAAGGAGGCAAAAGCAGCGTCAGGAATAGAATAATCGAGCTGACACATTCAACGCAATGTATATATATTTTTCATGATTTTTTTTTTCTTTTCACATCACTCCAAATGCATTCTACTTAATTTAATCTACGACAAATACAATCAACTGTCGTGTTGCAGTTACATCATACGCATGATTTGTTTCTTTTTTAATCTACAATTGTTTACCCCAGTGGCACGTACCACCGAGGATTAACAAAATAAACGAGTTAATTTGCTAAGCGAAACCCAATTATTCCACGTTTCTTGCTGTTCAACTTAAAGAAACTAAACAATAGGCTTCAGTCTCCAGCCGCTTGAGACGCTTTGTTCCGAGTTGATAAAATGTTACTTTGGATGGAGGTAAAAGAAGGGAGGGGCCAACTGAAAAGGGGACTGGCTGTGACGTTTAATACCATTTAGCTTCAGCTCTTTTTTTTTTTTTTTTTTTTTTTTTTTTTTTTTTTTTTTTTNTTCAGCTCTTTTTTTTTTTTTTCCTTTATTCGCCTCACCTATACATTTTCACCACTGATTTTTCATTCGATTTATTTTCAAGCAGCCTCGACTGAACTCAAAAGGACTTGTGCATTGAGATGATGAGGAATTTATCAAGTGCACTTTCTCCAGTTATCACTATATTCGCACAATTCATGGTGTTTTTACCTCCCAGATTAGCATGCCTGGAGCTCGTCGCATGTCATTACGTTTCACGTTAACATTTGTTGAAAAAGAAATCAGAATAACTCCTCAATCCAATCCTACGTCCAGATTATGTTTTTTTTTAAACCGTTTTATCTCGTCACCGTTTCGTCCTCTAAATCATCAACACCCATTAATTACGTAATTATAATTTTGTCTCTCTCCCTATTCCTTCTCGCCACGTCTCTCCACTGCCTAGCTATGGGCGTTAATTTTTAATTAATAGAATCAGAAGTTTTAGTGATAATGTTTTTTTTTCATCTTATTATTGTTTTTTTTTTAAACTTTATAACCCAGTATCCTCAGGATATATCCCAGTTTCCTTCAGGTGCCACCTTCGCGCAGTGATTTCTGCTGCTCGAGGAGGCGCTCCAGAGGTGATGGGCCTGGGCCAGACCACAGGGACTGCTGTGTCAATCGAGGCTTGAGTTGATCAACAGCAACGCTGGAGTTTTGAACGCCTGTTCCCCAGGAGTTTTCACTGAACAACGAGTATGTGTTGGGAGTGTTGAGGGCTCTCTTCATCTGATCTACCTCACAGCCCCTGTTCTCCTCCATCTGAGTCTTCTGATAGTAGTTGTCAGCCATTGGTAACTGGCTCCTAGTGACTGGAGGGTTCACCCAGCTCTGGAAGGCGTCCCTTTCTGGTTTATCCCTGTCAGCACTGCCCCACCAGGAGACTGGGGGCGGTGGGGGCTGGGGGTCCTTCCAGGGATTGTACTCCAGCTCGTGATTCCTGTACATTTGGTAATTATGCTGGGGCAGAGCAGCAGGCTCATGACTTGGGATGGATTTACTCGGAATTTTGTTGAATTGTCCCATCTGCTCCAGAGCCCCCAGCTGTCCCCCTGGCTTGAAGTAAGGCACCTCCACCTGGAAAGCCTTCCCCGAAGCGATTGGCTTATGATAATTCCCCAGGGTTACGTCCATTCCCATGGGAATGCTCTGCTGATGATTTCTCTCGAAAAATCCTGGGTGTGGCATCTCCTGCGGGTGCACCTGCAGGTTCATCATCATGTTGGGGTGGGGCATGTTACTCGGAGATGGCTTGGCCAGTGGGGCTTGGATGTTGGGAACCACCTGCTGCATGCTGAATTGCCTCTGAGGGAATTGAGGTACATGTGGCATCACGTTGAAGCCAAAGTTCTTGTCGTACTGGCCTGGACTGACGAAGTCAGAGGATCGAAACTGGGGTTGAAGGGGCTTCTGGTCATTCTGAAAACACTGACCTTGGAGCTGATAATTATCCAGTGGAGGCATTGGCACCGGTGGCAATGCCATCGTCTGTTGATTCCTCACAGCCATGGGGGTCGCAAATGACTTCATGCTGTTGAAGTGATCAGGCTCCGAGGGCTGATTCTTCTTGACATCAATCTCCTCAACACTCATTGGAGACACATTCTTGAAGGTCACCTGTTTCTGCTCGTTCTCAACTCTCCTCATGATCGCCTGCATCGCGATGTTCTGTCGAGTCTTCCTGGTGAGGGCAGCTCCATTCATCTCGATGAAGTTACTCTGAACCTCTGGATTTAACGAGTTGGAGACATCTCGATTTCTCTCGAGAGACCCTTGAGCCTTCAAAATGCCGACTTTCTTCTCGAATGAGGATTGCTCTGTGATCTCAGCTTCAGACGAACCTTTGCTGCTGGCAGAGTCCGAGGGAACAGGACTCGCAGTGAAGATAATCTGCCTCTCTTTGTTCAAACTCAACTCCTCCAGCTCCTTCATGAGCTCGTTACTGGGCCCAGAGACCTCGGACATGCAGGTGAATTTGATTAGATTGTTCTCTGAACAGGCGACATTCAGCAGAGTTCTACCATTAACCTGACACTGGGCGAGATGTTTTCCCAGATTGATAATCCTGACTGATCTCAGTTTATTTATGGAGATGGTGTCGCCCTCCAGGTCGTTGTTACAAAATCTCAGTGATTCGAAGGTCTTCTCCAGGGGGAGGAACCCCTGGAGATCCCTGTCCTCAGGTAGTGGAGTCTTGCTCAAGCCCTCTCCATCAAAATCACTGATTCCCCCCTGCAATCCATTCAACAAAACACACAAACTCGGCCAGATCTGGAGTCTCGACGAGAATGCTGGGTCCTCGAGGATCATGGGCTGCTGGCAGATCCACTCCAGAAGTAATTTGATACTCGGCAAAGCGAAGTAATCGACGTAAGAATTTTTGAGAGTATAAACTGGCAGCAAAAGTGCCGAGAGACTGGCTGCGATCAAATCGAGAATGCAGTTTCTGGCTGTTTGTTCGTCAGAGGATAATTGATCCACTTTCATCAGATCCATGTGATTCTCCAAGGTGTGACCAGCCGTATGATGCAAAGAGTACATATTAATAATCAACATTTGGATCAATCTCCAGGAGGTGAAGCTCTCCGTGGCGACGAGAGCTGTCAGCGTCTCAGACAGGTTTTTAACGTAATTTTTTGCCTGCTGGAGGTCGCCAAGGGTGTGAAGAATGCCATGTAGCTTGAGAAAAAGACAGGTGTACTCCTGAGAATTGAGTTTAGTCTTGCCACTGGTGTTGAATGAGTGATCGTTGAGTGCTGAGGTGAGTGTCTTTGCTAGGTTTGAAGTGGCCACTGGGAATGGATGTTTAACAGCCACTGAACGAACATAATGAAATACTGTTCCCAGTTTGTCACCCCTGGAGGCCTCGAGCAGTGCCAATTGATTGTAGGGCTGTCCACTGGAGGGTGATAAGGAGACAGCATGCCTGTAGAACAATTCAGCCTGACGATTTTGATTTCTGTATCTGGCAATGTCACCCAGGTGCACCAGGCAGTACTGACAGGCGTAGAAACACGAGGATTTGTGGGGGGTCGAGAGGTTCTCGATTGCCTTCCACGGGGATATGCAACCGTATATGTAGCCCTTGCGACGAAATGGCAGGTCCAGGTCGAATGCTGTGCAGATCTCCTGGAGGAGAGTCAGGTAGAAACCAGAGGCTGCCTCTAGGTACCAGCTCAGCATCGCTTGGGACTCGGAACGTTTTGGATTTTTACGGTCCTTTGCTTGGCTCTGGAGGAGGACGATGTAGTTCTTGAAGCCCAAGTTCCAGAGTTCCTGCTCGACTTTTTTGTCAAGGGCATACTCCAGGTCCAGGATCAGGACTTGCTGGTAGATCTTCTGGAGTTGCTGCTGGCACACCCAGGCATCATTGTCGGTCAGGAGATCCTTGCAACGTTGAACCTTGTCCTTCAGAGGTTCAGCTTTCCTGAAGTGGGTGAACGATTTAGTTTATTCCAGGGGGGGGGGAATCAATACTTGGGAGGGACGGGGACAAAATTAAGGATGTTCTACACCCTTTCTG